GCCGGGAGCGGCCACTGCACTCCAGTCTGGGCGACAGAGTGAGACGCTAACTCAAAAAAAAAAGTAAAAACAGAAAGCAGGAATTGGCTTTTAGGGCGAGAATGAGTAAACTCATGACACAGATAAGTCCCAAGTTTATTTTTTTGAGTCTGAGTCTCTCTCTCTTGCCCAGGCTGGAGTGCAGTGGCATGCTCAAGGCCACCGCAGCCTCGACCTCCTGGGCTCAGGTGATCCTTCAGCCTCAGCCTCCCAAGTAGCTAGAACTACAGGCATGTGCCACCATGCCCGGCTAATTTTTGTTTTTTGAGTTGGAGTCTCACTATCGCCCGGGTTGGAGGGCAGTGGCATGCTCACAGCCACCACAGCCTCAACCTGCTGGGCTCAGGCAATCCTCCTGCCTCAGCCTTCTAAGTAGCTGCAACTATAGGCATGCATCACCACGCCCGTCTAATTTTTTTATTTATTGTGGAGATGAGGTCTCGCCAAGTTACCCAGGCGGGTCTCAAACCCATGAGCTCCGGCAATCCTCTCACCTCAGCCTCCCTAAGTGCTGGGATCATGGGCGTGAGCCATCGCGTCCAGACAATTTTTTGATTTATGGTAGAGATGAGGTCTCACCCAGGGCTCAGGTAATCCTCTCGCCTCTGCCTCCCAAAGTGCTGGGATTACAGGTGTGAACCACCGCGCCTGGCCAGAGTCCCAAGTCTTGAGCCCAGCACAGGTGCAGTGGAGCCACCACTGGGCTGGGGACAAGATGTCAAGTTCCATTAATTTAGATGTCGTATTCAAGGTAGCCGAGGGGGTGTCCAGTCAGGACGTGGCCTGCAGCTCAGGAGGGAGGTGTGGGCAGGAGGTCGGCGTGATAGCGGGGAGGCGGGGCTGGGGCCTGGGTAGCCCTGCCTTCCAGGATGCTGTGTGCCCTGGGGTTCCAAAGGACCCTTCTGGTCTTTTAAATCAGTATTCCCGGAGGGCAGGGGGAAGCCACCGGGCCTGCCCTTGTGAAAATATAGCTCCCATGCAAGCACCTCACCTGCGTGTCCCTGAACCCGTGCTCCCCACTGCCACCCTTGCCAGGCAATGGCGTATCCATTCTGCAGATGTGGATTTCAAAGGCCCTGGGCAGTGTCTGGCTCAGCTCCCACAGCCAGGACAGAGCTGGACCTGTGAAATTCCCTGCAGGGGAACCTGGGCTCCTAAGTCTTGCCTCTGAGGCCGCTGCCTCCCCCTCCAGGATCCTGGTCCAGAGCCTGGCTGCCTTCTGGTCTGGGGGAGGTGGGGCTGTTGCTCCTTCCTGGGCCCCTTCAGTTTCTCCGGGGCTTTCTCCGGGAGCCACTTGCAACACACGCCTGTTGGCACACAGCTTCCTGGCAGGCCCTCCTTCCGTCTCCGGGGCCGGGTGGGGCGGGGGAGTCCTGTATCTTGGGGGTGAGGATGGCTGGGAGGGAGTTGGCAAGAGCACTACCAGCAGCCCTGCCCCGCTTCTGAGGGGAGGAGGGGCCCTGGCCCTCAACTCACTGCCCCTCCCTTCACCAGGCCAACCTTCCCCCGTTTCTGGCCATTCTCCAAGAAGCCAATCAATGCTGCACACCTCCCTGATGCCTCCTTTCTCGCGGGCCTGGGTGGGCCCCTGTTGGTGGCATCTCAAAGACAGCTTACACCTCTCCTTTGTGGGTGTGCTCCGGCTGGCAGGGCAGGACGAGGGCTCCAGCAACTCCCTCCCACTCTGCCTTGCTGGGGGAGTGGCTGTCCCACTCGAGGTTCCTGGACAGCGGTGGGGTGGGGGCAGGG